TTGAGGAAGAACTACAGAGCTATTTGGTTTATATCTAATTTATTTTAACCTTCCTACCCATAATATTTAAGGATCCTTATACTTTAAAATCACCTCCTACCATATGTCTTCTAATTTAAATAGCTTTTGAAGATCCTCAAACAATTTTGGGAGTGGCCATAAAAAGACAGATCACTTCATATCGTGTTGGAATACATTTAATGCAAAATACAGAAGTGAGTTTGTCAATATTTCTGACAACTGAGAGCAGTATTTCTCCACTCTAAAACGTGATTCTTCCTGTTAATTTCTAGATAACACATCGCAGCACATGCTTTTAACTTCTAAAACCAGACCACGTAACTCTCATACTAGAACATTTTAACTTGCAACATTCCTGAGACATGTAAAGGAAGGCTAAGAATAACACAGAAACGGACAGATCTTTCAGTGACTAGTCACAGAGACGGATATGCTGTTTTAAGACTAACACCCACTTAATTGTGGAGTCTGCTACAGATACTGGTCAATATCTTCCTTCACAAGAAAGAACAGATGAATAACAGAATTAGAACTATTGTACAGTATAGGTTTTGCTGAAAATGTTTGTATTAGGGTATAAAATTAAGAGGTAAAAGTCTACCTATAATGTTGGCATTGGTGTGGAGTAGAAAGTAACAAATGGCACCATAAACAAGCTCAGAAAAAAGTATAATTTGCTTTCTCCTGAAGATTGATAACAAGGCAAATAATTCTCTAAATATAAAAATGAGCCTAACTGTAGATTTAATCCAATATGAAGCAATAAATCTTGCTTGAATAAAGAAAAAAATATTTCTAAGACAATAATCCAGATACTGATTTATGCAAAGCCATGCAATGTAAATAAACATAAAGCTAAGTACCTATTAATTGAGAAATACTATTAAACTTCCATTTTGAAATGCCTTCTAACCAATCCATCAGTTTTCATATCAGAGCTGTTCACATAGTGCTTTATTTATACTGCAAGAGCAACCAAAGACCCCAGTTAAGGCCTTACCATGCTAGATGCTATCCAGCAATACAGACAGGCACAATTCCTACCCCTAGCAGTACTGACTCTTAAAAAAGCTCATTAAAAAATACATTACCTTCATTGTCCTGTCTACTTTAGCATTTATCTCTATACTGTCCTAATTAATAAACCTCAAAATTGTTTTAAAAAACGTCATAACAGAAAATAAAAAAGATGTGTGTAAAAAAATTTGTATATTTCTAAAACTCAATCTTCATCAACCCCAAGATTAAAAAAAACCTGTCAGTAGTAGAGGTTTTATCTCTACTGGTAGCTTTGATCCAAGGACTATTTACAAGTTCTCATTGAACTCTTATTTTTCCCATATTTATGCCATTTTCACCAAAGTTCCCTATACTAGCTGCCTATTCCATACAAACTGATTAAAAATAAGCATATTAGTCCTATTAATATTATGCAGTACACCTCTGCAGAAGCGTTGGTGGATATGTACAGTGTATGCCAAAATTTGGTATTCTGCTTTAACAGTATGATAAATTATAAGCCTGTATATTTTACTAGTACACATGAAGGCAGCTAATACTGAAAACAGAGCTCTAAAAGATTGTGGAAAAAAGCTTTTTGTTTAAATGGAAATCATCTCTTCTGATAGCACTGTTACTAGTGGGGAGATACTGACTAATATAATACTTCAACATCATCCATATTACGTTAAAAAAATATGACTCTTAAAATTCCAGCTTTCAGGAAAGCAAACGGTTTCCAGTTATCACAGGAAAAAAAAAAGGAAACTGATAACATGCTAATTTAAATTAGAAATAATTTAAGAATTCCACAAAATTTTGTGCATCTTATTTTGGAAGTACACCAGAGTTTGTTTCTTGAGGGCCTTCTCAAATTCTGTTTCTAAAAAGAAGAGTCTAACACTTTTGCTTGACAGCTCCAGAAACACTGATGACTGACGAGATTGAAAGAGATGGCCTTTACTGAACACACCTGAAGTGGCCATTCTTATGCTGAGAACAACCATGGGGAGCAGTCGGAAGAAGCAAGGATTTCAAGATGCCTGTCCTTTCTCGGTCCCATTGTTTCCTTCTCCTCTACCAAGCCTGGGGATTCTCAGCCTCAGCAGCAGCAGATTTCATTACTGGCAGAGTCCCTGTAGCCACCAAGCACCCTGGTGTACCCAAAGTGCTGCACAGCTGACCAGAATCTTTTTGGGCTGACTAATCTTTTGGACTGCATTAGACAAACTGCATAGTTAGATGTGGTTAATGCCAATTAGCTGAACAGCAAGAGGCGGTATCGCTCTTCTTACCACTGTTTTAAGTCCAAATACTCACGAGTTGTTGTTTGAACCCCTGTCCAGCCATATCAATCCCCTTTTAGAAACCAATAAAATAGTATTTCAAGAACTTTTAAAGTGCTTCTGAATGACTAAACTTCAGTTTCTACATTTAAGAGGTATCAAGAAACTATCCATTTTACTGAACAGTAAACTTTATGATATTTTCTTAGTCACATGACTAATCCCATAACAGAGAAACAAATCTGTGGTAACATAAAACCAGTCAGATCTGGAAACAGTTTTAAATATTTCCCTAATAATCAGTTATTTTCATTTTATCAAAAGCATCATAATCATAAGAGCATGAAACAGTTGCCCTTTCCTTCACCAGAGATTAATGAATCATGTAATAAGTGATTTAAAGATAGTTTTTAATTCCAAATTTGGAGAGAACAAAATGAGTAAGTACATGTATCATTTTTCACCTGATACCATTTGATATACTACCCCCACTTGGTATTCATTAAATTGGATAGCATAAAAAGGTGAAATTAGAACCATTTCACCTGTAACTATTGAATTGGCAAAAGAAGGTTTGAATTTAAGCTTATGTCCATCACTCATTTTAACCACTGGATACTAAAAATTTATATAACCTCAAGTACCTTTATTTAGTCTGAAAAAAACCTAAAGGTGATGCTACCACTTGCATTGCAATTCCTCAAGTTCTCTTTTCTTCTCTATGAGAATTTCAATCTACAATCCCAGAAAAAAAGAAGTATAATACCTAAAATAAAATGAAAGTATATTGTGCTCGTGTGTATCAAATCACAACCAGAAAACAGTAAGCTGTATCAAATATTTTGTTATAAGGTCTTAAATAAAATTTAAAATGCTAAAACTATGAATAAATGTCAGCATCATACAAAATAATTGTATTTCCTTCAAAGAAAGTACAATCTAATTAACATTTTTTCAGCTACTGACAGACTAGAAAATTCATAATAATTTTAAGTCAACAATTCAAAAGGCATTCAAATAAGAGAAATAACCACTGATTTTAATGATCAGAATTCTATAATGTGAACAGTTGAAAATGAACAAGGTAGTGTCATCTTCTGGAATAACATTAGCTTAATTACTTGTACTTTGTACCATACTGTTTGTGTAAATACACTAGGGTAAATCCATCATTTACCAATAATATTACCGTCTTTGAAATGTTACATTTTCCCATCTTGCCACACTCCTTCATCAAACCTTTTTTAAATAAGCAGATTTGTTTTAGGGTTGACTCCAGTGCTACTGCTTTATCATTTTGAGACTACTTGGCCATGGTCAACATCTGGTCTTTTACTTAAAAAGTCTGAAGCAAAAATTCTTTAGGAAAAATATCTTTGTAATTACTTGAATTCAATTCACACCTACATGAAAGCTTTAGGTTAGATCCAGAAAACAGTTTGACAGGAGACTCACCATAAGCTTACCCTATACAGATCTACTGAAGATTTCTGGTCTTGGACTTACAATAATCCTGCTTTATCTGTCCATGACTATTTCCAGACAACACTGAGACTATGTCAAATTATCTGAAATGTAGCTTCTGCATTTTCTATCCTATGCTGCTGCTAGCCCCTGGCTTTAACACACTGTGATGAAGAAGTCCTGAGGAGTCAGCATATTCTGACAGTGAATTGGACAAGACAGGAGGAGAAAAATGAGAATGGAGGAGAGAATGAATGACGGCAAAAGAACAGGTTGCAACCATCAACTTTTATCTACCAGCATTAGGCAGCATATAATTGGAGAGTATACATTTCTTACACATGAAGTTTAAAAATTTCAGTTTTATTAATCTAAAAAAAAAAAACGAAAGATAAAAAGCACATGGACTTCTAAAAGTAAATGGTTGCATTGGGTATATGCGGCCACACGGCAGGGTTTTGGCAAGCTGGGGTCAGCTACAGAGGTGGCCTCTGTGGGAAGAGGCCAGGTGCAGTCCTGTGCCCAACACAGCCCATTCCAGATGGCTTCAAAATAAACCCACCATAGGCCAAAGTTAAGCCCAACTTGTTTGTGGCACCTCTGTGAAAATATTTAAGAAATGGTGAAAAAACACTGGATGGAGGTGGTGCTTCACAGCACCAGAGCAGGGGTTCCCTGTAGCTCATGGAAGACCCAAAACAGAGCAGATAATCTGCAGCTTGTGGGAGAGCTCTCACTGGAGCAGATGGATTTTACCTGAAGGAAGCAGAGCACACTTTTTCCCCTGAAGGACTGCAGCCCAGACTGCAGTCCATGAAAGAGAGCAGGGGAAAAATGTGAGGAGGAAGGAGCAGCAGAGAGAAAATGCTGTGTACTGACTGTAACACACTTCCCTTCATTGCTCAGGGAGTAGACCAGAGGAGTCTAGAGTAAAGAAGTTGAGCTTGCGAGAAGGGCAAGAAAAGGTGTTGTTTTAATGTTTGTCTTTGTCACTAACCAAATTTATTTTAATTGGCAGTAAATTAAATTAATTTTCCCCACATCAAGTCTGTTTTGCCTGCAATAGTAAATGGAAAACAATGCCCCCATGTTTGTATCAACCCATGAGTTTCTTCATTCTGTTTTCTCCTTCTGTCCCACTGAGGAGGGGAGTGAGTGGCTGGGTGGGACCCTTAGCCAGGGTTAACCTATCAACACCGGTACATGGGACTGTGAGCACGTTTGACTTACTAGAAGAAGTAGGTTTCTTTTTTTCTGGACTTCCTGTATCTTCTGTTTCTGCTTCAGTGTTCTCATTGGATGCAGCTGCTGCCTTTCTTTTTTTCTGAAAGAGAAAAAAAAAAGGAGTCAACTGAACTCAAGAGCAGGAAAGTCCACACAAAGCAGAAACTATATTGTCCTCATAAGGTATTCCCCAATTTTAAGCATTATTTCTTCATGTATTATAAAACACCTCCAGTTGTAGAGAAAATTTATTCATATATTAATGCAAGAATACCAGTACTAGGCAACAGACAATTAAAAGTTCAGTTCCCATATCTGCAGATCACATTAGGAGTTGAAATTTTAATGTATTAAAACACAAGTTTTTATGATCAAAATCTGTTTTTTTTATTTACATTGAATAACTGTTACAAAAAGAGCAATCTAAAAAATCTTAAAGCATACGGAAAAACATTTTACCCAAAGTTGATGTTAATTGCTTTTTTAAAAGCAATTACACCTCATTAAATTCAAGTTTATCTGGATCCTTGCTTCTTAAGGCTTTCTTTGCACAGCTTAGAAGTAGCTAACACCCACTGACAGTATATTATTATTTTTTTCTAATGGCAACTACGGGTTCTGTTCCAAAGAGAGGTACTTGGGAAATCAGAACTCTATTCAAGGTACATTACCTTAAAACTTCTAAATGGATAGAACTGTTATTATCTATGTGTTATAATTAATCTTACTATTGCAAAGTATTCTTAAGGTGGTTATGGAAAGACTGTTTTCTTAAAGCCACATGATTTTTGTAAAGGATGAGCTGAGCTGTATTTGTATCAGACATAGATGATAACTTTAATGAACACTGAGTTTACCTTCTCCTTTTTTTTCTTTTTTCTTTTTTTTTTTAATTGTGTGAGACTAGAGCTTTACTAATACAGCTTTAAAAGTGGCTGCAACTTCACATAGCTCACGAGAGAAGGGGAGAGTGCATTACATCTTTCCAAAGTGTTGCTTCATGATTACCATCTAAACCCTGCTGGGCTGAACAGATTGGTTCGATAATTACATACAATAACTGCAGTGGGCAGGTAACCCTCAGCTGGCACAGGGCAGCTCCCCTGTGAGAACTTCCATATGCAAACTGCACTGATGGAGTGCATTAGGTACATCTTTCCCGCCGGTGCACAGGCCTGATTACCGCCAGCCAAGACTCCAAGGTTAGCATGTCAGCAGATTTGTGATGCATTAGGCAGGAATAAACACAGACACTTTTGTTCATTCTGACCAAAATTAAGGAGGACTATTTCAGAGCTGTACTGCTTTTATACAAGAGATAATGCATTCCTTCCAATTGTACCAGAAAGCGTTTTAAACGCTCACCAGAAAAATAGATATCCAATACACGCTACATAAAAGCAAAATACATTTATCTTGTTTCCAAACTTATTTAATAAAAAGTGGTTTCTTAATCTTGATGTAGGTGAATTACATAGCAGTAGAAATCAGGAAGCATTCATCTCACAAAAGCAACACCTGTGCATCTGAAGCTGAGCATTAGAAGGAACCACAAATCATCAAGATCCATATTTTTCCAGTTTAGTTTACTCTCAATATTTCTCAACAACTCTTCAGCACTAAACAAAAGTAAGATGTGGTCCTTGCCCTAAATAATTTAGTCAAGAGCTCCAGATACTTCCTTTAGTACATGGTACTGTTAGCTTCTTGTTTAGCTGGAACTATTACAAAATACCACACACACAAACCAACATGCATTTACTAAACAGAGGAGGAAAAAAAAAAAAAAGAAACAAACAAAACACTCCACCAGAACTGTGGACTGTGTTTCATTTACTCATACATCTGGGGAAATTTGACTCATGATACAGAAAATAAAATGTTAACTTTTAATATAGCAGACATCTGAGTTTTAGCCAGATACCAATATTGGCAAATGAGTTGAGATTCCAGAACTATGCCGATGTGCAACACATAATGCATATCATGGCTCAATTAGCCATACGAGCTGGAAGCACAGGAGAATCCTACATTCTAAGAATTTATTTACACAGAATCTAGAAATATTGCATTCTAGCTATGAAATAGCATAACTTCAGAACACCACAGACTGTTTTAAGAAAGTATTATGGTAGAAGGCCCCAAAGGAATTGAAGAGTGGCTGTCTTAAGACCTGTTGTGATTAAAAGATCAGTACAGCCAAAATGCCATAAATATTCCATATTAGAGGTCACCATCTTCTCAAAGGTGGATGCCAGACTGCATCATTCTTTTCCAAAGTAGACATTAGCATGCCAAAATAAATTCAGCGTGTGCTAGAAGATAATGGCTTTTAGATGCAAGATGCTACTGATCAATGGTAAATTATCTTTATGGCAAGCACTTTCTAACAGAGTTTGGAATTTGGAGCTTATTCTTGAAATACTCAGCAAGTTGAGCTTCCTGTCACAGCTAAAAACCATATAATTTTAGTTACTATTCTATGTTCTTCCTCTGTGCAAGTGTCCAGCTATGCTCAACTATCACAAATTGTCCTCCTGTTCTCCTAGCCTCTCAACATCTGATACCCCATGGAAGAAAAACCTAGTAGCATGAGTTCCCTAACATGTATTCTGAGAAAGGAGACATGCTGCTGAAGACCCTCTTTCCATTCATTCTTGGAAGTGCAAAATACACCCTTCAAAGGAAGACTGACACAATCTGTTCCTCTACCGTAGCCTATGCCACAGCTGTTACAAGGCTTAGAAAATCCAATACAGAAAGAAGAGTCTTCTGTCCTGGTATTTGGTCAAAAGCAAGCAGGCTATGTCAACCTGATTTCAAGCAAACAATCTTATTCTGTCTGGACACTCTAGCAGTACCTGGCATGAAGCAGCTAACATGAAGTCCACTGCAATATGAAGCAGACAGCTGAAAACACTTATTCAAATGGACCATTAACACTTATTGTTTTATATCAGTGCTTGAACATATGCATATGGTTCCCCTTGAACAACAAAAAAAACCCAAAAACAAACAACAAACTCAATGTTAAAACTAATTCCCAATTGATGCCAGTAGACAAGAAACCTATGTAAAAGTATTATCCCACCCTTTGAGAATAGTCTTGACTGATATGGGCTAAAGAAATAAGATTTTTGAAGTTTTATCCCATTGGAAATATGCAGCAGCCATCTCTGCTGGACAAGGACATTAAAGGTCACAGATGTTGGCTCTGCAGCAGGCCAACTTATTCAGCAAAGAAACCAGTCAACCATTAAAAACAGATTATTCCCTCCCCCCCCCAAAAAAATACAGATCTCAAACCATGTTGATCCACAAGGGGAACAAAAGAGTTTATGCTAATGAACTCTCCTTTTGGACAGATCTTTACACTCAGTTCAGCAAAAAATATTAGTATAAAGACCAAGGCTGTATGATTTTAGCCAAAGTACTATTTACCGTGAAAAAAAAAAAAGTAAGAAAGGCTGGACATGTATCCTCAGAAGACTTTAATATCCTACAACTTTATTTTTTTTTGTGCTTTTTGCCCATCTTTAACACACTGCTGATCATGTCAGTAAGGAGGCAGAATTCTTGTACTATTATCCTGTATTATAATTCTCAGTTCCCTGGTTCATGCTAATGGAACCAATAAACTGCCTGCTTGTTACTAACAAATGCAAAGAAACAAGTAATAAATACACTTTGGAGTGCAGGATAATATTTATTTTTTCCTACAGTTGGACTCTATGATCTTAAAAGTCTTTTCCAACCTAAATGATTCTATGATTATTTGATCATTTTTAATTGTTATTATAAACAGTTTTAACATAGGATTTCCCTAAGGCTTAAAAAGTTCTTATGCTGCATTCAAACGGAGTCCAAATCTAGAGTTCAAGGTTTCCTAAGTACAAAGAATAAAATACTCCTAGCCTACCCCTACTGTTAAGACTCATAAATAACATATTATATCACAGTGAATTCAAGATGTGAATTCCAAAATCAAATACTTGGCATAAGATGTATACTTAAAACTCAGCTTTGAACTAGTCACGGAAAGGAAACTAATCTGAAACAAAACCTAGACTTATTTTACCTTACATATATTTTGACCCATCTGGAGTTTCACCAATTTAAGGAAAATAAATAAATTAACTGAATGTTCATCTGTTCAAATGTCATTACAACTAAATATACACATTCTGTTATGTAAGACATTGTCTATTATGAAAGTACACCGATAAACATCATTCTGTATTATGTTGTAATAACAATGTGTGAAGTTAAATTAGAAAAATAATGCATAAGAGTAGGACTTAAACAAAAAAACATTTCACTAATGCTTATTTCCTACTGGATGCAGTTACAGCTAATTCCAATATCACTTAAAGTCTTATTTAGCTCAAAAAAATGCATTAAATGCTGACTTAAACTTTTAGAGTAAAAACCTTTTGCACAGGATTTGTTTGCAAGTCTCCATTCTGTGACGAGCCAAAGTCAAGTACTCCATCATCTTTTTGTCCAATGGCCTTAAGACCTTGAAGAAGTATTTCTCGGAAATGTTGATAAACAGGTTTCTCTTCATAGCTCAGTAGCTTCACCTTTTCCATATATTTGGCTATTTCATCTAAAGAAATGGTACCTCCAATTATTTTCTATTTGAAAACATTTTAATCATTCACTTTTACCACAAAAGAGTCTGAAATTATGCATGCACTACTTAAGCCATTTTTTTGAAATGGTTATTTATAAACTCATAATTATTACTGTACTACAACATGTTTTAGAAAAAATTATACCAAGGCTCATTACCCAGTGATGACAGCATCACTGTTTTTTTACACGTTCCCTGCAATGAAGAAAACAGTCAGTTGTAAAAAATGTAACAGGCCATTCTTCACCACTGAATGCTTGTTTACTTACTTCTTATGTCTATATCTAAAAAATTGAAAGGAAATTCAATGTTACCTCAGAACTTCATCAGTTCAAGACTGAAACATATTTAAAAATACATGAAACATTTGAACACTAAAAAGCCAAACAAGTCACACTTGACAGAGAACACTCTTTTCTTATCACCAGGAGTAGCCAGAAATAACTAAATATTTAAGTTTAACATCCCAAGAAAATATATTTCTAATAGAGTCAGGCTTAAAAAAAAAAAAAACAAAAAAACTCAACCACTTAAAATCACCAATGCTACACAGAAACAATCTAGATTTCAACTTTGTATTATTCTATATTTTGCATCTCTAAAATTCAGTTGTGAAAAATCAACTTGCACGTTTCATGGTTGCAAATACTTAATATGGTCTTTAGTCAGAAGCAACAGTCTGCAGTTCATATGACTGTCATCAAAAGGAAAAGTCTAAACTTCCAATCAACAATCTAATTCATGCCAATTTGTTGTTGCTGATAAAAGAAGAAAAATGAGTATATACCTCAGTAAACAAGGTGGACTTAAAGAAGCAACAGATTGGAGTATAATGCCTGAGATACACCCCTCAGGAAAAAAGATGCTGACAATCTGACAACTCCTCACCTTTTGCAGCAACTGAATTGATCTGTTTTTAATGGAATACAGAGTAGCACAGCCTTCCCTTCTACACACTCAACGTGCCCCATGTAAAGACAAACTTCAGAGCTTCTACACATTGTCTAAAGTTGTGTAAAATTTGGTGATGGCACCCAAACAGATTGATGGATTTTTTATTTTTTTTTTTAAGAAAAAAGACATTGAACCAAATTATTCAAGAATGCTCACCACATGGTACAAACCAAAGTATTGTAATTTAAAATAGCTCCTCTTACCTGGTTTATTTTTCCCAGGAAAGCATTTGTCCATCAAAACTGAAATATTATCTCTACATCTGAAAAACAAAATTATTCAAAACTATTGTTTCTTTCAAAGTTTGAGTCTTGCCCAGTTCTGACGAACTTTTTAAGTACTTAGCTTGGGCCACTGTCAGAGACAGGAAACACTACTAGATAAAGCTTTGGTATGACCTAGCACAGCCATTTTTAGGAGTGAAGTACATTTGAGAACCTGACAAATGCCAGACAGGCAATCTCAAATATGGTAAGTTTTTGTTTAACAGTTGTAGATTCTTATAAAAGCAAACAAGTGGAAGACTGAAGGAAAATAACTGGTCTGTTTTAAACCCTCAATGTTCTCACCTCTTCCTGCCAGAGAACTCTCTCTCTTGCTGATATTATTCACAGCATCCCTGCCAAAATAATAACTGGGGGGAAGGGTGGGGAGCTTCACTAACATTGATGGGGGCTAAAGTGTTAAAAGTAGAGTTAAGGCAGGCAGATAACAAGTATTTGTTAATGAGACAGAAACGGCCGTGCTGGGACAACTTTCTTCATATTAAATATCTGACAAGAGAGGGTTGAGCAGCGCTGGGGGGAAGATGAAGGAATGTAACAGTGAGGAAGAGGGACAAAAAATTACTAAAAATCCCATATTAGTAGCCCTTTAGCTGGAATGATGCTCAAAGACATTTAATATGCACCTTTAGCTCTCATCTCTGACGTTGACTTCAGAGCATGGTGTTATAAAGGCTACTCATATTCCACACTTCAGTTCTCTCTCTGTAAAGTAGGACTAATGGTTACCCGCATACCAATAAAAGGGCTTTTTGGCTTAACCATGGCAGTATTCTAAAGCAACAGTACTGTGGTGGATAACTAAGTATCTCACATATGCAAAAGAAGATAGAAGAGAGCAGTACAAGTAAAGTTTAATTACAAGCCAAGAATACATGAGACACAATGAAGGGAAACTGGGGGTTACACAAAACAATAGCCTACTCACCAAAAGGGAACAGGAAGTACAAAGTATTTCTACACTAAGACATTTCCATTTCTATTTTCAATTTCAGAAGAAAAAGGAAGAAAGTGGTTTCTCACCTGATTTTTGAGTCTCTGACAAGATTTGGATCTTTCAAACTATCCTCCCATGGTAGATGGCCACTAAGCCAATGAATCATACAGTAACCCAAGATCTCCAGATCACCACGTCTCGATGGTGCTAAATATACACAAACACACATAAAACGAGCTGTGAGAGCAGCTTATAAAGCACATACATTTTAGTAACAGTTAAAATTTGTAAAGATCTTAAGACAATAGAAAGCCAATGCTAACAATGTAACATTACTGTATCTGTTATTTATTTTAGCGTGAAGGCAAGGAAGAAAAAAAAATACTGTTCCTAATCTTGAAGGAAAACATCATTTTCAAGTCCTTTATCAATCTCTTTATTCTACTCAAGGGTATGACATGCTGTAGTTATCCCAATTTGGGAAGCTTTTTAAGTACTCAGATTGTGGAAAAAATGGAGCAAGTTAGTGAAGTGATTGACTCTCTGTTCAAAACAGTTTTTACTTCCCTTCTGTAAAAAGGTAATAGTGCTAAAACCTCAGCTCCTGCAAAAAAATATGCCACAATGCTGAAATATTTTATGTGGCCTGAAAACAGAACAAAGGACAGTAACAGATCAGATCACTAAGCCTTGCCAAAAAAAAAAAAACCAAAAAAAAACAAAAAAAACCAAAAAAACCCCAAACCATGTACATTGATCACAGACTACACTAAAAGTATAAACGAGTAAATCAAGTCACCTTTATTCATGTTCAGTTTTAAGCTTGGGTGCAACAACTCATCCTGAATAATAATTTTCAACACCTGATATTTTTGCAGGACACAATTTAATGCTAATAAAACAAAATTTAAGAATGAAGAAAATAAAATTGGTGTTCACTATAAAACTTCAATGTTTTATCAGACATAGACCAGTTCTTTCATGTTTAACCTTTTCTCACTACTTGCCTTTTGATCATCAGCAACCATAGGCACAAACAAAGTTTTGTTAAAAAACTTCTAAATATTAAGCTATAAACAAGATAAAGAATATAGTGTAACTTTGCCAAACATGAAGGAACAAAGTTCACATTAATAACAGAAACTATTTATCTCCTGAAAACAGGGTCTGTTTTTCTATCAAGATCTCATAAGCACTATTCCATTTCTACTTAGCTAATAAAAAGCAATACAATAAACACCTTAACAGTCTTCATAAACTAAGGAAATCTATTTCAGAAAGTTACATTAAAAATACAATAAATTAATATAAAAGTAAAAATTAGTAAATGGAAAAAAAAAAAGGCAGCATAGTCCATAAAGAAAAAAAATTCTAGATTCGGAAACCTGGTTGTTTACAAAACTCAATGCAGCAAATAAATTATTTTGTACTTATAAAAGGATTCACAAACGCCTGTGGCTGAGAACAAAGTTTTACATGCTTACCCACACCCTTGTGTGCATCAATACTGGTATATTCAATAGTTCCATCATGACATCTTTTAGGATCTTCTTTATATGCTTTGTGAACTCCTTCAGGACAGTATCGGTAGGCAAGTCCATAATCCACCAAGTAGACCTAGTAATTTCCACAAAGAATTTTAAGATTAAAGAACTATAAATACAAAAAAATAAGCAAATAATAAATGTAACTCTCAACCATTCTCTCAACCATTATAAGAACTTCTTATAAAGTATTAAGAACGGTGAGGTTTTTTACTTTAAATGATCCTCAGTGCTTTATTGAGGTTACTACATATGACTTGAAAACAACAGGTCAGATAGGTTTTCTTGTTTTCCATATAGAAGTCTAATCTGGATGCAGTTTTTTGCTTATGCAGAGGACAAGTACAGTAAAATAGTTATTACCAGCAAGATTAAATATCCCAAAAAAAAAAAAAAAAAGTAATGTTCATAGAGATATAAATACCCTTACTGTCCCACCCTCTTTAAAGTCAGCTGTCCCATTTGAACACTGCTACACACTATTACTTCTCACTAACACCACAGCTACTTTAAGAAAACTGATATTATTTTACTTATTTCATGGGCTAAAACATTTGGGTAAGAAGACATACATAATTCTGAAACTCTACTATTCATTGCTTGAATAGTAAAGAGAGTTAAAAATGCATAAAAATGCAAGACTTCTGTAAATCAAGTGGAACAATCAACACTTTAAAGACCAATTTTTCCAAGTAACAGAACACTTATCTGATGGATTTCTTGAACAAAGGAATGAGGTAACAATGCAGACAGGCAAACATAATTTACCAGTGTGCTATATAATTTCAGACTTCCACCTGCAAATACCTATTTGTGAGTCAATTTTTTCTTTTTTTAATCTTGAGAATTTCTCTAGAATATTATTTAGGCCAAATAGTCAATTTGATAACTGTCCTGCAAAAGGCATTAAAAAAATCGTAGAATATTAACTAGATATAAATGTCAAGCAGAAAAAAATGTTACCATATATAGTCTTAAAAATGAGCTTCTGCTAGATTTCACAGGTTCAAAGCACTTCCATGTGTTATCAAATAGAAGGTTTAAAACATGAAGAATAAAATGCATTCGAAATACCTGATTAGGGTTCTTGTAACTCAGAAGGAGGTTTGCGGCCTTGATGTCACCATGCACGTATTCATGCTCGTGGACGTATTCCAGAATATCAAGCTAACAAAACAAAATACAGTCCTATAAATGCAGTACCCAGCTCCACCCAGCAGAGGACCTGTACTCAGCACAAAAGTGTGATTTAACCGAAAGACACCGGGAAGTCAGATTGTAAAAATATCATATATTATATAATATTATATATTTTTTTAAACTTACTATTCTCAGGCCTAATTGTAGTACAGTTTTATGAGAAAATCGCTTTGCATTCTCTTCATACATCTTCTGAAGATCTCTGCCAAATCGGTCCATTATCATAAATCGATAACTAAACACAAGGGGGAAAAAAAAAAACAAACAGCAAAATTACTGAATTGTACTCAGCACAGTAGTTTACTTATGTGTTAATTGTACAAATTACTGATTGAAAACATCTCAACAGATAAACTACAGGCACACAGAAATATATGTGGGAAATACTTAACTTCTTTTTAAAATGTTGTACATCAGTTCTTAACTTTTTTTATATCAGCTAGTCAAAAGTTTGTCCATCAAAAGAACTGTTCTTTATTCCCAACTAATTATGCAACACAGTAACAAGCGCCCACAGAGCAAAACATCTGTACTGCAATTCACTATAGGTAAAACCAAGCATCAATTACTTACAGAAACACATTTTTGCCTTGATAAATGACTAAGTACCATAACATGGTCCCTTTAAAAAGTTTGTTTCTTGAAATCTATTGCAACCTTTTAAGCTATTATTAAAACAAAAAATCTCTCACTTACCAAAGGTGTTCTAATATTCATTGCTATTGCCAAACTGGTTCTATTACTGTAACAGCTCATAGTGACTATATTAAAGAAACTCATGCATTAAACATTGAGTGCAAATAAAAGGGGAAATAAAATGTAATAATAAAATGTAAATAAAAGGGGAAAAAATATCATTTTGCTATATTTACTTTTGCCTCTCAAAATTAATAATTTTTTTTTTTTATTACATTAGTTTTAAAGCTGAGGACCTACTGAAACAATATTTCTGACATACCAGGGCATACATACCAACTGCCCCTATGTAGTGGTCAACATAAAGAAGTCTGACCTACTATAAGCTGCCAGAGAACCACTAAAACTCCTTTGCAGCATAGCTGTTAACAGTCTTTGTTTCCTAGTGCACTTTCTGTAACATAAACAGGCATCCCATTCAAGACCAAGTTACAAAAACCATTCATGATATGGAATAATGCTAAAAACTATCCCTAGACTTAAGACAAATTTGACATGAGACTAGCAATTATTCTAGCTCACAGAATAAGTAAAAAAAACCCCACACAACCAAACAAACAACCCTATTCCTAAGGAGAATAAAGCATATTTAGAGAAAGCACCAAGTCCTTTATATGTGAATGAAAATACTCTAAGTGTAGACCACAAGAAAAACTTTAAAGGTAGCCATATTATTCAAGACCTACCCATTCGTAGCCAACTTTATTTTAATTCAAATATGAAAAGCTTCTAAACCAGACTGCACAGCAGGGCATAGCACCATATATTACCATCACTGTTTTCCACCAATGTTCAAGACAAGTGGAAACAAACTGAGTACAATTAAAATGTATCTATTCAACTATTCCTTAAACACACCCTGTTAGGAACACAGAACTATGCAGCAGAAATGAACAACATGAAGATAGGTGGAAAATACACTCTATAAAGCAAATAAGGTTAAAAGGGATAGTGGTTGTGGATGAAATTAATCCCCATATACGCCAATGAAAGATATATTCACCTGTTTCCATTTTTTTCATGCAAACCAGAACCCCAGTATCTTGGTACACCTAAATATTTCAATTTATGGGACTTAGTCCACTTCTGAACTGAAAACACAAATAAAGATAAATTAATGAATTTGCATCAGTAGAGACTTATATCAAAAGGGTGTACTCGCACCACTTAGTTTCTGCATACAGGTGAGCTGCTTATTTCATGGAAACTTGGATGCAAAGTATACTGGAAAGTTCATGATGCATACATTAGAGGGACAGAAATGCAACTAAAGATTTAATTTAGACAATACCATCAACACAACTATTAAAAAACATTTTACCAAAACCCCTAATTTTACTATATGTCTGAATTAGGTTTCAATTATTCAAAAATAATTTTGAAAATTACCTAAAAAGATTCTATTAAAGTTCGACCACACTCCTGTAGGCAATATTTTCCTAAATGCTTGTAGTTCATTAAAAACATTTTAATAGACTGCTTACTTTCATCTGGCTTAGCAGCTCGCATGTAGAACTTTAACTCAGTAAAAAGAGGTCCATTCTGGCTGGGTTCCTTTAAGACAATTTAAAATTAGTTAAAAACTGCTGTGTTAGTGTCTAATAATTATTAAAAGCTCACAAAATGTAACATTCACCCTATAGAAGCATATTCTCCCTCAAATGCTCAACCCAGTGCTGATAAATTCAATAGAATATGTTCTTTTTATAAAAGAAGGTTGGCTATAAAAAGTTATTTTTATTATAAATTGCTTAACATTAAAGGTATCAAGGAATCCTTTCCAATAACAAAAGATAAAAGAATAACAAATTAAATGAAATGTATAAAAATATTAACAATAATTGGGAAAAGTTTAGCATAATGTTTAAACAACTATCATTATCTCGGATTTTCCAGATTAAAGCTGGATTGCATCAGTTGCAATAGTCATTAGTGAGCCTAAAATAACACCTGAAATTATTTGATGGAAAAATCTTAACAAAAGTTAAATTCTTGCTGAACATAAGGGATTTTATTCCCTTCATACATTAGTTAGTCAAGGTAAAAACTACAGAGGATTTCACAATTTCTCTTAAACTAAATTCTAAAAACTACACCTATTTTGGCTGCAGAATCTACCTTGTATTTAAGCTAATATATGGTATTTCAGTTCCATTTTCTAGGGACAAATCTACGGTCACCACCTATTACAAGTCAAGTGCAAGAGAGAAACTGGTTTAAAAAAACCACTAAATCTTTGAAATATTGCAAGAATGGCAAATGGGCAACTATCCTGACTACATTTCCAGAACTTAGCGCAGAAAAGAAAATAAGTTATTTTAAGTTTTGTAATTTTTAAGTGATTGATTTTGAGATAAGCTTAAGCAATTTATTTTGGTCTAGATACTAATATAAGTCAAAATTTATTCTATCTCAGTGAAAATGCCTGTTTTGGAATATCCCACACTTTAAAAAAATCTAACAAAAAAAAAAAGTACATGATTACTGGCAAAGAAACCCAGAAAGAATACAATCGCGTGATACTAGCAAAAGTTCAAAGACATACAACATCCATCTTCAGTGGTTTTAATTGTAACTTTTAAATGCATATGTAGTGATCCAGCAAAGTGCTAAAGGCTAGACTGTTCCACTCAGCCAACAGTGGTACACTGCTGTCTGACATTAAGGAAGCAATATAAAGAGGTCAAATAATTCACTGATCAACGTGGGCTTTAGCGTGCATCTGATGTTTTGGCTCAGAGGCTGAGCAGGAAGACCAGTCAGAATGAGAGCAGATAACCAGCTTAGGCACCACTCCTAGGCCTGGACACTCGATTACAAAGCTACCACCTATCTCCACCTCATTTTCTCCAGCAGCACTGCCCTGATAAACAATGGAGCCAACACAACAGGTTTTTGGTCCCTCCTTCTGGGACCAACATTCAGACTTAAGCCATAAACCTGAAAAAAACCCCCATAACTAGCCCAACTGATCAGTGCATGTAAACTTTGGTTCATGCATATCTACTTTCAGTTATTTATCCACTGTGGACAACAAACTAGCAACTACCTCAGACAAACATTATTTGACCTATTCACTTGTTTCTGTGTGACATAATCCATTAATACTCTAACTTAATTAGAATATAAATGATACATATTATTTTGATTCCATCTACATAGGTTTGGAGAATGTTATTTTCTTACTAAAATACAGGGAAAAATTGTAGGAGTTAAAAATTCTCAAAATATTTATATTTAAATTATTCCACAAAAGTTATGACTCAGTGCTGAAAAAAGAGTCATCTTTCTCTAGTCAGAGTAAAAGCTGAAAATCTGTTATCTTTTCATACTTAAGGGGATGGATAAATGATTTAACCACGAAACAGATCTTCATGTTCACTCTGAAGCTGTTTCCCGATAATACCAGTAATTCTACATACAGATAAATAAATGCATATGCTATATTAAAAAGGCTCGTGCAATGATGCCCAATATTTGCCATACTCGTCATCTTAGAATACACTAAAACCAGAAAGACTTCAAAAATAAATTCCTACAACTTTTCGCCCAGGTTCATTCTAAACAAGATTTCCAAAACTGAAATTGAAGTCTAATTAGAAAAGATACCATAATGAAAGATTACAGAGTATAGGTTGACACCCAACAAATTTCTTTAAGGAGCATTTTAAGAATTCTGATTTTTTCAGTCAGCAATTTAATGAAGTGTTATTAAACTCTGCATCCACTCCTGAACAATGACATCTGAAAGGACCACATGTTAAAAAGCATTGCTTTTTTTTTTTTTTAATAAAAACTGTTATTCATTTTGTTCTGCTCAGACATCAATACTATGAGGATATGTCAAAGACTAAGCCAATTTCCATCCTGCTTTAATAGCTTAATTTGAAGAACATTACTACAGAAGCACATATTTTGTTAAACACTAATAATTGTTCAAAGCTGTTAACCACTTTGCTTCAGCTGACAGATCAACTAGCAATCACCCAGGCACCAGAAAATAGGCCCTTATCTGTAGTTGTGTTATACTATACTGTAGAGGCATAATACATTATGGGTCATTTGTGAGGGCAGCATAAAGACTGAGGCTACTCTTTATTGCCATAAAGACAAAATTATAAAAGACAAATTAAAAGTGAGTAGTCATCCGGGAGATTAGCAATGGGGGTATTCATAAATTGCTGCAACAAAGTGAATTGAGCATAAAAGCAATGCAAGTTATGACAACTCTTCCCATATTCAGAGCCCAAAGTGGAGAAGAGAAGCAGATGGGCAGGTTTCAGACTCAGGGCAAGAGAAAGGTAGCAATTACACACAGCATAAAATAATGCATAACTGATCATTTTCCAAGCAAGTCAAACTGGATTCTTCCAGGAAACTTCAATGTCTCTCTGCTTCCTGTCTAGCCCAAGCTCACCAGGAGCCAGGAATTAGGAGCCACTGCCGATAATTTGAATGTCTATTATCTGCCTCTAGAACAGGCCACAGCTCCTGCATAATGACACCTCCTGCCCTCGATGGCACAGGCTGGACATACAAAAGCAGGTTACTACCATGCAACAGCAGCAGACCAGGGCTCCTGGTCTGTGTGGAATTCCTGCCCAGAAACACCTAAGGCAGCAGCAGTACACTGATGTTGAAAGTGTGGTAGTTTGACATTTGCATCGTAAGCAGTGTTTTTTTCAGCAACTGACAACATTTTGGAAAGAGGGTCATCACCGACAGTACCTTGGGTGTCTGAACAGTATCAAACCCAGTCCTCTAGCATTTCCCTATAGTCAGCAGATATAAATATCAAGATTAAAGGCACATACTAAGTAAAATGTATTTTATTCTAAATTAACCTGATCTTTTAGTTTCAGGAACAAATGCTAAAAGTATTAACATATTTACATAAGTGGCCAGCTATTGCAGTAAAGCATTTCAGTATCACCATATAGTTTAATAAATAAAAGATTAAAATATTGCAGTTCTGAACTGTGCTGAAGAACTAATTTCTTTAATGTTGTTAAGTTCTTGTACAGTTTTCTGGTGTTTGCTTTTGTCACAGGACCACAAGTACCACCAAGATAATGAATAGTCTGGATCTACTATGGCTATTCCCATATTCCCAGGTTTTTTTTACTAAGAATTTACCAGGAAACCATATATAATAGTAGGATCTATATAAAATAATCTAGCAAAATTTGAGGAAAAATACTTTATGCCTTAGGAAGAAAACATAGCCAAATCAAGTTAAATAAATCTTTTTTTATTTTAAGATTAAAAACATAAAAAAAATTCAACTAATAAAAAGAATTTGCTGATTTGCTACTATGGGCTAAAAATGAGCTATCAACAATGCTGCTTCTTCTTTATAATCATTAGGTTAAAAAAAATTATGTCAATGCAATTTTAATTCAATAGAAATTAGAATACATATGTGTTTTATGATAAAACATTTAAAGGACGTTATATCTGTGGGGACTTCGGGAATCGAAGTTTTGCTGTTTGTACTCCCAAGCCATCTGTCAGCTTACCAACATCCAGTGGTGAGAAACAGTTCACACAGACTCACTGATGAATCACAGAAATTCTCCAAAAGCTAGCCAGATTTCATTCATTTTGTGATCTCTGGGCTGCTTACAGGAAGTAGCAATTGAAATAGAATCTGATCCATTTTATTAACCTTTTTCAACTCCGCTGATGTTCCATTATCCACCCTCATATATCGGAGCTCTAATTCTCAGCAGTGTTCCTCTATATCACCACAATTTCTTTTCTTTTATACAGTACTATGCAATTGTATTATTTTCAGTCAGAAGATGTTTTAAACTATACACAGTATTCTAGAACAAACATTTTCAAGTTGTGAAGTAGAGATTCAAATGCTCTCTTACCACTTTTGCAACATAAGGTGCATCACTGCCAACTGACTTCGAAGAATTAACATCAGCTGTTAAAAAGGAAGCATTTGTTAGTAGCAGGAAACTGTCAAAAAACATACACTTATTTGCTATGCAGCACGGACAAACAAATGACAAAGCAGCTAAGTACTGATGTGAACACATTATCAGTACCTTAAACTTTGGCAAAAGAACTACTCTATATGCCAAGACTATATGCAGACTCAGTCTTGCATTCTCCCTTATGTTTGAGGAGAACAGGAAGTTTATTAAATAAAGGAGTTATTTTTTATTATTCAGTAAGATTTTCCTAGTCAATAGCATTTCTTTCCTTTTCTAGGACTGTGATGAACATACACTGTTGTTGACATAAAGATGAAAAACACATCTGTCCTACTATTTTGCCATGTCACATATCCAGAAGTGGCTTTTTCTTGCTATTAAGCTCTTGATATTTGTGACAGAAGGAGATACAGGTCTGAAGGACATCAAGTTAGGCAAGCACAAAGTACAGGAATAGTCAAGGGAACAGCTTTGTGAAAATGATGGGGAAGCGGAGGGTAAGCTTTGGCTTGAGTGAAGCAGGCTTTCTTAACATGAAGAACTACATAATTTAAGTGATCTGGAACTCCAATTTCAGTAAATTTAGTAGCTCTGAGCAAGTAGAGGGTTTCTTTGGCTAGAAGCCACCGACTGGTCTTGTTTTCTTTCTCAGTCCACTTATGCTGCAGTTTGTTCATTTTGAAAGCAGGATGGATTTTTAATTTTTTTTCTCAACTCAGCATGAACTCACTGACATTTTTTCACCAAGAGGAAGAAGACCATATACATGTAGCAAGAGAAAACCTTATTATCATGATCACATTAACTTTCAGCTCTTCAAAATTGTTTGGAAAATGACCAGGGGCAATCAAGTTTTTTCTAATTCCCTGAGGTATCTTCAAGACCTCTCTTTTATGTTCATCCATTCAAATAACAGAGATACTAAGTATGGAACACTATCCACTAAAAGAAGTTTTCCCTGAATTCAATAAACAGCATTGCAAAACAAGATCTGTGCTGATGCTTTAAACTGTGAAGTCCAGTATTTCAATTTGTTTTGACCATTAGTTACATAAAAAAAGTATACAACTTAAGTCAGAAGTTCATAAGGCAACGAAAAAGTCAAAAGCACCAAAATCAAAACCAGGAAAAATACTGGTTGATCACTAGCCTCCACAGAATATGCTTAGAAAGTTTCAGTTCAAAATTTGTCATATAAGGACACTCATGCAAAAATTTGTTCTTTCAGTTAGACCAAAACCAAATTTTAAAAAATTCTACTTTTTAGCTGTGAGAGTTTAATCTCCTACAACCATGGTGCTTACAATGACCACTTGCCCATTTGTCCTTTTTTTCCAACACCATGAACCAAGCTGAGGTTCTAGTAAAAAAGATCACTTGAAGACACTTGGTGTTTCTAACTTAGGGTCAATTTTTCATTGCTTTGAATAAGGATAAACATCTCACTCTCTGTTTTAAAGCATTATCAAACACCATTATACTTACCAAGGTACAGGCGCCCAAAGCCTCCTTGCCCTATAGGGACACCTAATTTCCATTCTTTTCTTGCTGTATCTGCTAGAACCTCCCCCAGAGCAAACACTTCTGCAAGCTTCCTTTTTGCAGGGGCTCTTTTTCCAGCAGTCTTCTTATTATATGGCATTTTCCCTGGATGGAGAGGAGGGAAGGGAAGGAAAAATGTTTAAAAAGCACAGGTTACATGACAACTTCATTGCCATCAATTCTAAGTGAAAAACAACTAATTTTTCCAGACACCACAAAAAAAATTCGACAGCAAAAATCTGCATAAGAGAAACCTATTAGCAGACCTTCTATAACACACACTAGAAAAATCTCAGAATCTATCGTACTCAATCAATCACAAGTTTAAACTTAGAAAAAAGTAAACTAATGAAATAAAGCTCCTCAGTTTTCCTGGCCTGAAACTTGATTATCAAAGAAGTGTCATAACGCCCAGGTCTTCAGTAATAATATGAGGTATTCCTCTCAGCTGTAGAAAATATGACAAAAAATTAAGCCATTCAAACAGTTAATTATAGTACATAACCACCTATTTTGAGATTGTAAAAGTATTACTGCTGTGTTCTCCCAAACTCAGGTCTCAGATAAGCAATATTTCCAGAAACATAACTGGAACCAAACACAGGCACCTTTCTGCAGAACAGGCCTCATTTTGAGCAAATAAATGTTTTGACTTTTTATGAGAGTCAGATTTTGATTTACAGAACTTACTGAATATGCAGCCATGTGTATTGGGTTTGCATGGCAAGGTTTTGGTAGCAGGGGGAGCATAGGGGCAGTTTCTCTGAGAAGCTGCCAGAGGTTTCCCCCATGTCTGACACAGCCAGTGCCAGCCAGCTGCAAGACAGACCCACTGCTGGCCAAGGCCGAGCCCATCAGCCACAGCAGTAGCGCCCCTGGGATAACGTATTTAAAAAGGGGATAAAGTTCCTGCACAACAGCAATTGCAGATGGAGAAGACAGGAGTGAGAATACACAAGATAAACAACTCTGCAGACACCAAGGTCAGTGAAGAGGAGGTGCTCCAGGCACTGGAGCAGAGATTGATGGTGAAGACCATGATGAGGCAGGCTGTCCCCTGCAGTCAATGGAGGTCCATGGTGGAGGGCATATCCACCTGTAGCCCATCAAGGACTCCACACTGGAGCAGGTGGATGCCTGAAGGAGGCTGTGACCCCGTGGGAAGCCCACGCTGGAGCAGGGTCCTGGCAGGACCTGTGAACCCGTGGAAAGAGTAGCCCATGCCATAGCATGTTTGCTGGCAGGAGCTGTGACCCTGTGGGGAACCCATGCTGGAGAAGTGAATGAAGAACTGCAGTGCACAGGAAGGACTCATGCTGGAGAAGTTCATGGAGGACTGTCTCCAGTGGGCGGGGCCCCAAGCTGGGAGAATTTGAGGCATCCTGAGGAGGCAGGAGCAGCAGAGACAACCTGTGATGAACTGACCACAACTCCCATTCCCATCCCCATGTGCCACTCAGGGGGAGGAGGTAGAGAAAATCAGGAATAAAGTTGAACTTGGGAAGAAGGGAGGGGTGGGGGGGAAGGTGTTTTTAAGATATAGTTATTTCTCATTTCCCTACTCCGATTTGATTGGTAATAAACTAAAATAATTTTTCCCCAAGTTGAGTCTTTTTTGCCTGTGATGGTAACTGGTGAGTGATCTCTCTCTGTCCATATCTCAACCCATGAGCCCTTCATTGTATTTTCTCTCCCCTGTCCAGCTGAGGAGGGGAGTGATAGAGCAGCTTTGGGGGGCCCCTGGCATTCAGCCAGGGTCAACACACCACACCATGATATGGCAAAGAATGCACTAGATCTCTTTACATGAAAGGCCTTCATGGTTTGTTTTACAAATAACTGATCTGTCCCTCCAAAACACATACAAACAGAGCCACAGTTATTTTCTAAAAGGCAACATTCTGACTGGTGGGATTTTATTATTATTTTATTTTGCCTGGGGAAGCAGGAAGGAATATTAATACATAATTCATGACATTTCTGGATAGCAAAATATTTTTTCCCATTAGTCTAGCTACTCAACACAATAACCCTAAGCCAAATCCAGTTACTTAACATCAGTTTTCCTCTTTTAGTTCTAATGTTCCTCTACGACTTTTTTAATTTCCCAAATAGAAAACTTCATAACATGACAGTTGTTCCAAAAGCACTCTCCCCTCTACAAACCTCTTTTCTGACTGGGTAGTATCTTCAGGAAATTTTCTTTCCCAAATAATGTCTGTCACCCAAAGAACATTTGAAGAGAGCAGCCCATACCCACTTCTCTGTATTTCTACCATTACTAAATGCAAGAATAACTGTCAAGTTTCCTGAAAACATTATTCTATCTGCTAATACTTAAGTCTGCAGCTGTGATTGACCAAACCCCTAGTGGTGGAAAGCAACTGAGCAAAGCCCAACAATGGATGGAACACTCCATGGAGTGGGAAAAGGTGATGTGCCCAGGAGTAGAGGTGATAATGCAAAGGAGATCACTTTAGCTCAACACAGAAGGGACCAGTGGGTGCCCTTTGTTTTAGGTAAACAGATAAATAACAATTGAGTGGAGCTCAAAATTTTTGAGTGGATCAAAGTGTTGTGCAAATATCTCCCCAGGTTAGCTGGCCAGTGTGAGGGGAGTGAAGATTAGGCTCAGCCCAATTTAAGAGTATAAAAACTAAACAACTAGCAAAAGACTTTTGAGGAGAATAATGGGCCTGAGCTGGTTTCAACCCAGGTATTCCTTCCCAGTGGCTGGGAACACCAGCATCATGACAGTGAGTAATTATAGAGATTGGTAATGGGAATCGCATCGGTACTGTGACTGAGTACTGCAATTGCTGTATTTTGCTGAGTGTAACTTGCGTTTTTATTGCTTTCAGTGTATTTTGTATCACTCTCCTAAATCAGAAATCCCATATAACATCGATTATCTTCAAATAAGTAAATTTGATATTAAATATTATGTCCTCCATGTGTGGAAGATCTAAAAAAACTTGGTCAGAGAGTATTGGACTCTGGCAGCAAGCAGTCTGCACGAACCACTGTCACTCAGTATAGGAATAAACACAGAAGAGAAGGTGTGTGATTCCATGCCAAAGACAAGGTCTGCTTTTTCAGAGTCCTTATTAATCTGAGAAGTATCTCTGTCATAGAACCACATCCAAATACCTACTGCAGTTAAATGAATAACTTCAACAGAACAGTATTATGAAATACCCACACCACAGGAAGAGATTGGTATTTATCACTACCTACATTGCACAAGCTTCCTCATTATCACAAAACAGGATGTTTTACTTCTGCATTACTTTCCCACATTTCCATTTACTTCTATACAGTAACATTCTCTATAACCAAGATACAGTTTTGACATTTAACACTTAGATTTTAAGACTAATTTTACCCACAGCTTTTTCCATCCCTGTCTTCAAGAAACTCCTCTCTTTACACCTCTTCTTTATCTTCAAAGTGATACATACTGTACTGTTTTAGAGGAAGGTTCTTTCTCTAGATTTCCTACAGGAGAAAAACAAGGCTTCCAAGCACCAAATGCAATTCCAGCTAGCTCAGCTAAGACCATACCAATGAGAACATAATGGTGTCAAAGCATCAGAAGGAACAGAGAAATGGCTAATTGATACCACTTACAAGAGCAGGCCAAAAAAATCACGCCAGACCTTTAAGTAGCTTCTCAGAACACCCAGATTAGGAAAAGGATTAAAACAAAGGACAGACTGAAACCATTAAAAGTGATAATGGGAAAATATCCCTGAAGTCTGGAGCCCCAAGACTGACTCAGATAAGGAGAAAAGAAAGCACAAAAATCAGCAGTGTTGCCTAATGACACAGATGTGGGACAAGATCACACTGTCATGTAAAGGGTACAAAAATTGACACAAAATAGCATACTGTCCTCAAATTAAGAAATAAGAGACACAAAGAGGGCTTGAAGGACTGCATCCTTTGACCTCTGAGTTACTACAAATCATTTCAGCAAGACCTGAAGAGATGCACTTAGGTGCCTGAATACTGGAGAGACTGCTATTCAGTAACAGTAAAATTTGTAGCCTCTTTTTCAATAAAGCTAGCAAGTCAGTGAAATAAAACTATTGATATGCTTCACATCTTTGACATTCACGGTGAGTCTCTTGATAGTAGCCTCACTTAAAAGGGAATTAAAATACCTCCTCGAGAGTATTAAAGAAGGAGCTGGTGTTTCCCTCTTTTTTTTTTTTTTCTCTTTTTTTTTTTTTTGTTTAACATGGTCAATAATTGTATGCCTGAAGGTATTTAGTTAAAAAAAAAAAAAAAAAAAGACAATTTCCCTTTATCCATAAAATCAAAAATTCAAAAATTCAAAATGGACATAAGTTTGAACATCCAGCTGGGAACCCTGCCCTTAACAAATACACTAGATACACATACATGGTTTCTTGGCTGTCTATATTCATATCCATCTGTTAAAATGGCAGTGTGCCTACTTACAAGTTGGTCAAACTATCAGTAGGCCATAGGTGCCAAACACTGATCGTTTTCAATGGGCAGCATGCACAATATTAAGCACTCACTCTTTTGCAAAAAAGCTGTTATCCATGGAAATATTTAAGCAATGGCTGCACATGCTTTCACATTTATTTTAATAAATCCATTCAAGGATCTTCTATTGATTGAAACCAAGAACACCTGGACACTGCAAAAAATTTCTACATGAAAATATAGAACTGCGAAAAAAAAAAAAGACAACAATAATTTTAAAAGATAATGACATTTTGGTGCAAATTCTGTCATTCTATGTGCTTTTCAACTCATGATATAGCAAACGAGTGGTTTGTCAGGAAGCTTATGAACCAGCAAACACGATGTAGAGCGGCCTGCTGTACATTGCACAACTGGAATGAAGTCAGCTACTTCTCCCTAAAAACACCTTAAAAACTCACACATCTACATACACAAAAATTCACCTTTAACTTTCCTGTATCTCAATTACCTCTCCCCATTACAAAATGGAAATATTTTCTATGCCACAGGTATTGTGAAGATTAATTCATTAGTGCCTGCAGCCATGCTGAAGTCCTTGGAAACAGAGTGCCGCAGATGTCAAGTACTAGACTATCGTTCA